CTTTAGGTGTAAAGGCAACTGCCTATGATGCTAAAATATGTTCTTTCCTCTCCCTGTCACATGCGGGGGGGGGGGGTCCTTGTAAGTTCAAGAGCACATTGTCCATCTTCGTCTATGAAGTAGTCACTTTATCAGTGTCTTTACAGATTGCACAGTCTAAGGCTGTGTGGTATCCCTGTCTCACTCTGTAGCCAAAAGGAACTTGTCATTTGAATTTAAGATTTATCATAATTTTTACCACTCCATACCACTTGTGCCCTAGGTTCTCATTTAAAGAGAGAGATGGTTATATGGTCCTCATTCTTTGTGACTGGGTGAGTTATAAATTCTTGAAATAGGGTATCTATAACTCATCTTGTTATTTGAGAAAAATATCTCTCTTACCCTAAATAAATGTCTTTAATTTTGTCAAATATTCCTTTTATGGAAAAAAAAAACTTTCAACTTATTTCTTTGTCCAATTAGGGTTGAGGAAACCATGTATTTTGGAATCCAGATGAGGCTTGGGCCCCAAATCTGTGGTAGTTAATTTCTTTGAAAAGTCCATCAGAATCGTTCTACATTTGATTTTCCTTTCTAGCTTAAAAATAAACAGAGAGAAAAAAAAGATGACAACTAGATAGCATTCCAGCTTTCTCAAGTCAAACCTCTGTTAATTTATTTGAGGTATTATGAACACTGACAATACTAGTCATGTCTTTACCAAAATGTAACTAAATTTGCTTTCCAGAGACAAATGCTGTAGAAATGTGGTTATCCATGAATGCTCCTTTTGGAATAGATTTATTCAAAATGTGTTCATCTACATTTTCTTCTCCCTTGTTCACCGTTTTAAAAGTTCATACCTCTTCCATAAACATTGAGTAACTTTGCATGATGCTTGCTTTTGTCCACTGTTGGAAGGTTTATTTTTGAAACCTTTCAGTATATGATGAGCTGGAATTTGACAACTGGTTGTTGTGAATTAGTCTTTGGGATTCGTGGAAACAACATACAGTGATTAGGTTACTCCCTGCAAGACACTTCTGCCATGAATGCTTTTTAGTTTATTTAATTGTAGCCTGGCAGCAATGCATGATAGTTATTACTATATAGACTCATTAATTTAATGTTTTGACAGTCTCACCCTCTGCCTGGAAATTTTACTGATAAAATAGATGTGGTCTCTGATGGGGACAGTGGTGGAATATTCTAATTAAAAGCATGCTCTTTGTCTCTCAGGCTGTGCACTCAGTGGTCTTCTGGCTATATAGGATTTCTTAAAATTTTTTTTTTCTTAATGTTTGTTTATTTTTGAGAGAGAGAGACAGACAGAGTGTGAGCAGGGGAGGGTCAGAGAGAGAGGGAGACACAGAATCTCGAGCAGGCTCCAGGCTCTGAGCTGTCAGCTCAGACGCGGGGCTTGAACTCACGAACCATGAGATCATAGCCTGAGCCGAAGTCGGACACTTAACCAGCTGAGCCATCCAGGCACCCCTGGCTGTATAGGATTTCTTAAGTCACTGGTAACCATTTAAACGCAATAGTTATATTTGAAATTACTATGGTTGTTTTGATATAATACTGCTTAACATCTTTGTGAACTAGAACAGGCATATTAGAGAGTTAAGATTTTTAGGTTTTATTTCAAGGGAGATTCTAAGTGGAATCATGTAGAACAATGTTCTCTTTGTTTACCTTTTCTCCTTAAAATTATTTTTTAAAATCGAGAGAATAATCCTTGTTCTATCCAAAGTCATAAAATGTAATTCTTTGCAAAACACTTATAAAATAGAAATTGGATTCTCTCTTCCTCAACCTGAGCCTTACATTTTGTCATAATTGATATTATGCATATGGCAACCATTATACTTGATCTTCTGGGAGAAGTCCTGATTTCAAAATATTAACCAGTTATTAATAACATTCTCATATTTGTCAGATTATGTGTTAGTTGGGGCTAAAAAAATACAGTGACTGTGATTAAGATGGAATATTGCTAGGCTTTTGCCAACTTTCTTCTTTCAGTAAAGATTAACTTTGATAGTAAGTATCTTACTTTGTAACTTACAAAGTTACTTACAAAGTAACTTACAAAGTTACTTACTTTGATACTTACTGTCAAATTACTTAATTGAGAATTATTATGGAAATTATCTAGAGATACTGCTTCCCTGATTATTGTGACACTTAGAAAACTTTTTTTTTTTTTAAAGAAGATCATTCTTTTGACTTACATTTGAGGTCAAATGGAAGAATTTGGAAGCAGTATGTGCTGTGATTAAGACCATGGTCCTGGGCGCCTGGGTGGCTTAGTTGGTTAAGCATCTGACTTCAGCTCACGTCATGATCTTACGGTTCGTGGGTTTAAGCCCCTCATCGGGCTCTGTGCTGACAGCCCAGAGCCTGGGGCCTGCTTCGGATTCCGTGTCTCCCTCTCTCTCTGCCCCTCCCCTGCTTATGCTAGCTCTCTCTCTCTCTCAAAAATAAACATTAAAAAAAAAGTTAAAAAAAAAAAAAAAAGACCATGGTCCTGAGAGCAAACAGTTTTTGATTCAACCCTTGATATTATCACTGTTTTAACCTTGAGCAAGTTACATATCCTTGTTCTGTTTCCTTATCAGTGAAATGGCAAGGCTAATGAGACTTACCTTATAGAGTTGTCGGGAAGAATACATGAGACACAGGCATGATACACAGCGCTTGACACAGAGCAAGCACTGACTACATTTGGTTGTTATGTTGAGCTTGGAACATCTCTTAAAAGAGAACTACGTTTAATGAAGCCTTTCAAAAAGTCCAATTCACTCTTTAAATTACATTTAGAGTCTGCCCTTTCCTCAAGGACGTGTAATTGTGCAACCTTTAAAAATATGAAATGCTAAAGTCTTACTTTTATATCTAGGCTAAGTTCTTTTGATCTTTGTGAAATTGGGAACTGACCATATCCGCCCAAAAGGGAAATTACGAAACAGGAGAAAAATTCAGTTCCTCTTTAAGGAGAGAAAGTAACAATATAATGTGTGGTGTGGTGTGATGTGGGGTGGGGTGTGTGTGTGTATGAAGAGAGATCATGCACATATTTATATAACGCATTAATAGATTTAAATTTACTGGCCTAGTGTCTTTTCCTCTAAATTTATAAAATATAAAAATAGAAATGAAATGAAAGCATTTGTAATAGCTCAACTGGTATACATTATTATTCAGCCTCAGGAACAAGTAGTGATTCTTACACAGTAGATAAAACCTAATTTGATTTTTAAAAATTCAGCCTTTTTACTACTGATCTGGTTTTTATGTTCCCATAGCTGTGTAATACAGTAATGAGTGGGTAAGGCATTGCATCTAGAATATTTGTGGTGAACCTGTTGGACTTGAATGTAATCGTTTCCCTAATCTTTCCACGTAAGGTTAATAACCAGGACCACACCTGTGAGGAGAGGTTCTGGAATGCCCCATTTTGCTTTATAGATAATATTCCTCCCTCCTTTAAAGTAAATGCAGGAATATTGTCAGTGAACAATATCCTTTTACCAGTGAATCCTGAAAAAGAATTATAATTTGAAAATTTAAAAATATTCCTATTTTAGTGCCTACAACTTGGTTTATAATGAGGTGAAAATAACAATGATAGATTTAAAAATCAAGATACTTTATCATGGCCATGTATTTAGTTGCACTGTGTATTTCTCATGCAACATTTTTTTTTTAAAACTGATATTGACACATACATCATTCTGATCTTCATCTTTGCTTTTTTCTTGTCTCTTTCTTCAGAGAACCTAGGAAAAGATACATCTAGTAAGAAGGATTATAGAAATTTTTAGAAAACTAGATGGAAGGTGGTAAAGTTAGAATAGGGGTAATGAGCCCCCCCATGTATTTACTAAGTTGTTAGCTGTCACTGTCATACTTACTGCCTTGCCTTCCCTTCCCTTCCTTCTCTCCTCTCCTCTCCTCTCCTCTCCTCTCCTCTCCTCTCCTCTCCTCTCCTCTCCTCTCCTCTCCTCTCCTCTCCTCTTTTGTGCATCATGATAACTGTACTCTTTTATCCCTATCACCTATTTCATCAATGCCCCTACCCACCTCCCCTCTGGTAACCATCAGTTTGTTCTCTGTAGTTAAGAGTCTGTTTCTTGGTTTGTCTCTCTCTCTCTCTCTCTCTCTCTCTCTCTTTTTCCTTTATTCATTTGTTTTCTTAAGTTCCACATATGAGTGAAACTATATGGTATTTGTCTTTCTTAGACCGACTTATTTTGCTTAGCATTATACTTTCTAGCTCTATCTATGTCGTTGCACTATGTATATACCACATATAGTATATGAAATATTACACTGTGTATATATATACCACATCTGTATTCATCAGTTGATGGACACTTGGGCTGCTTCCATACCTTGGCTGTTGTAAATAATGCTGCTATAAACAAAGGGGTGCATGTATCCCTTTGAATTAGTGTTTTTGTATTTTGAGGGTAAATACCTAATAGTGTGATTACTGGACATATGATAGTTCTATTTTTAATTTTTTGAGGAAGCTCCATACTGTTTTCCACAGCAGCTGCACCAGTTTGCATTCCTACCAGTAGTGCATGAGGGTTCCTTTTTCTCTACATCCTCACCAGCACCTGTTTCTTGAATTTTTTATTCCAGCCATTCTGACAGTCATAGGTGGTATCTCATTGTGATTTTGATTTTCATTTCCCTGATAATGAGTGATGTTGAGCGTCTTTTCCTGTGTCTATTGGCCATCTGTATGTCTTCTTTGGGGAAATGTCTGTTCATATCTTCTGCCCATTTTTTAATTGGATTATTTGCTTTTGGTGTGTTCAGTTGTATCAGTGCTTTATATGTTTTAGATACTAACCCTTTATCAGATATATCATTTGCAGATATCTTCTATTCAGTAGATTGCCTTTTAGGCAATTGCCTTTTCTTAAATACCTCTAGAAGTCTTATGAAATTAAGAGCTTTCACAGGGGTTCTGGATTATTGTGTAACTCTCCATTAATTTCTAGGTATCTGGTGACCCATCTCATGGGAGCAGATCTGAACAACATTGTGAAATGTCAAAAGCTTACGGATGACCATGTTCAGTTCCTTATCTACCAGATTCTCCGCGGTCTCAAGGTATAGTCTCCCTTTCTCCATCTCAAGGCTTAAGAGAAAGAAGAAGAAGAAGGAAAAAAAAAAAACCCTTTCTTATGGAAAATTTCAAACATAAAATCACAAGTACAATTATACTGTAATGAACCCCTGCGTTTACTCAATGACCACAGCTACCAACATATGGCCAATCTTGTTTCTGTTGTATTCCCCAAGCCCTGGATTCTTTTAAGACAAGTCCAGACATCATATCATTCCACCCATAATAGATATTTCAGTATGTATGTCTGAGAGCTCAGGACTCTTCATTCTTCCTTCTAAAGAGTAGTCATAATCTCTTGATCTAATCTAATGTCTGGTCAGAGTCATGTTGAAACTTTAAAAACCTCCTCTAGGATGCTAATTTGTTTGTGGGAAGGGCAGATAAGTAATGTTTTAAAATTAAAGCACCTTTGACATTGACATTTAGCAGCTTTGAGTCCGTAGTGAGCTCCAGAGCACTAGCGAGAAAATAGGTTGAAAGCTGTTTCACTTATACTTCAACTCTATGAATAGAGTTGATAGTATAGAAATCATAGTTATGATAAATGTTCAGATTACTAATAATTACTTGTTCTCATTTCTAATGCTACTTTTTAATACTAGTAGTTCTTACTGATTCATGAAAATATACTTTAACTATGTCATATGGCCATAAGAGGTTGGAGATAACTTTTTGATTTAACTGACTTTTTTCTCTTTCACAGTATATACATTCAGCTGACATAATTCACAGGGTAATGTATTATGATTTTGATGGCATTATTTGGGGAGGGAGCGCTGAAGTGGAGAGGACCGGCATGTGGCCAAGATCCTAGTCTAAGCTTAATTTAGCCATTGAACTATTGATTATAACTTTACTCTAAGTTTAAACTGATTAAAGAAATGTGTGTGGTTTTTACTATATAAGGCTAATTAGGACTAGGTAGTGACTGACTATAGATGGAGATCATTTATAGCTGAATAAAGTCTTACTTTTATGTTTGGATCTTCATCATTACCTGTGGGGAGAAAACCTAGCATGAATCATAGAGTTGATCATGGCCTCTCTGGACTTGCTTCCTAGGACCTGAAACCTAGTAATCTAGCTGTGAATGAAGACTGTGAGCTGAAGGTAAGATGAAGAAACAGTGGGAATTGTTTGTTTCCACTTGTAATTACATGTTTGACTAACCAGGCAGACTTATGTAGTAAATGGGTTTATAAAATCATGACTTTTTGTCTGAAAATTCATATTTTCCTTAGAAATATCAGAGTTTGAATCACAGACTTAATAAGTCTTAGTTTAAAGGATATTGAAGGTGGCATCAGGTGTTGTATTTTCATTCTAAAATAAAGTTACATTAGAAATTTAATTTGTTAGTTATAATAAAGGAAAATCATAGTCTGAATATTAAGTAAGCAATCCTGAAGAGATAATTACTAGATTAGTTTCCTAAGATAAGAATGGCAAAAGCCACTCATTCAAAATAATTCAAATAGGGGATAAATATAAATATATAGAGAGCAAGCAGCTTTAGAATATTTTTTCTCATTTTTAATCAATCTTTTAAACATAATTAAATGTAATAAAAAGAATCATTTTAAGTGCACACTTGATAAATTTATGTATCCATGTAACCACCAACACAATTAAAATAAAGAACACTTTTTCACTTCCAGAAGTTGACTTATGCTCCTTCCGAGCCACTCCCTACTCCTCTACCCCTAATCCTGGACCACTGATCTAATTGCTGACACCATAGAACAGATTTATTTTTTTCTGGAATTTCACATGAATGGAATCATACAGTATTTGTGTGTGTGTATCTGATTTTTGCTTAGTATAATATTTTTGAGATCTGTGTCATATCAGTAGTTCATTCCTTTTTGTTGCTGAATTTTTGTGAATTCAATATTCACAAAATATTGAACACAATATTCATTTTGTGAATATGCCACGATTTGTCTATCCATCTACCTGTTGATAGACCTTTGCTTCAATTCCAGTTTGGGGCTGTGTAAAGCTGCTATGAATATTCATATGCAAGCCCTTGTGTGGCTGTGTGTTTTCATTGCTCTTGGGTAAATGCCTGGAGTAACATTTTTGTTTTGCTTTTTGTAATTTCATTTTTTAAATTGCTGTGTTTATCATGCATTCCAAACATAGACTTGGAAGTATGTTTATGAAAGTGCTGTATTGTTCTTCCCGTTTCTGAGGCAGTAGAGTTTTTTCCCTCTTGCCTTATGAGACTTAGGATCCTGACTGTTCCAGTGCCTGATTTCTCTTCTCTCCCTTAGATCTTAGATTTTGGACTGGCTCGACATACAGATGATGAAATGACAGGCTATGTGGCCACTAGGTGGTACAGGGCTCCTGAGATCATGCTGAACTGGATGCATTACAACCAGACAGGTATTGCTTTTATTGGTTATTTAGCACCTTCTTGGTCAGCATGTTGAGCGTATTTGGGATTCTCAGAAGCGGAGGTAGTGGGAATGGGAGGAAGCATCTTTTTTTTCCATCAGTAATCCTTTTAAAGTCGACAGAAAATATTTCAGTTGCTCAGATAGAGAAGGGGGGTGGTGTTGTACACAGCTTTCAAACTTTATGATTTAGCAGTTGAGTTTTTATTTATTTAGATTTCCAGCGTATTCTGTGAGTACTTCTATCTGAAGACAATAGGTTCATAATTGTAACCTCTCAACATGACTTGGGAGAATCCACCATTTCCACCAATAAGAGTCTCTACCCCTTTGTGAACAGCTTATTTCTCTTTGCCTTAATTATGTTTTGACATCCTACCTATGAAGCCCTTTAGTGGGGTGAAGGTCTTAATAAGCTAACTTCCATAAAGATGAGCATGAATCGTGGACCTCAAATGTCTTAAATATTAATTTGAGTATTTCACTTCTAGTTATAGTTCCATTTGTGGTCAGGTATGATAACAGTGACATTGTATGCCCTTTTCTCTTTAATTTTGCCAGTTGATATTTGGTCAGTGGGATGCATAATGGCCGAGCTGTTGACTGGAAGAACGTTGTTTCCTGGTACAGACCGTATCCTTTAAAAAGTTTTGGATTCTTGTTTCTTATCTGTATTCCAGTGTCCATGGAAGTATATCATTTTTACCTATCTCTAGGGAAGCTCTCAGTTACTTGCTTATATAGTTGAGACATGCGTTATGAGATCTGCCCTCTGGCTAAGTGTCTTGCTTTGCCAACAAAGTGCCTTCAATTTTACTTGTGAGTTGGAAAAATTCCTCACAAGCTGGGGAACTCTTTATATCTTTCACCTGTTATCTTTTGCAGTGAGTTCTTTATTACATTAATCTTCCCACAGCAGTTCTGCAACCTGAGCATATTCCTGAGAGGCTCCAGATCTCAATGACTGGTTTAGTCTACTTGTGCAAACACTTAATGAGAGCAAGGCACCCATTTATAAATCAGGGGTGTCTTTAGCTTTTATGTTTGATTTACATGTTAAAAAGATTATATTTCATCCCTATAATGATGCACCTGCTGACTCTCTTTATACTTGTTTAACAACAAATAATAAAAGGAAGACATGATAAGGTCATCCTGCCATGTGATGGCACAATTTTTTTTTTTTCCAGCACAATTTTGTTTTTATCTAGATTGTAGCCAAACCTTAATTTACTGCCAGATTTACCATCTAGCCCATGGTTTACCACGGCCCTTTTATTTTAGGCCCTTTCCCTTCTGCTGTATGCCCATTTCATGCTTTAGAAGTAGCATCATCCAAATGTGGTTTGCTAGAAGTCCCATTACTTTCACTTGGGGAAGATGTTCAAGTGAGAAGGAATGTTGAAATATGTGTCTAGAATTAGGTTTGAAGATTTTTGTAAAATTCATCTGACTAGCCTATAGTGGGTTTGGCTGGGCTTTAAAAATGCTGCAGGGGGCGCCTGGGTGGCGCAGTCGGTTAAGCGTCCGACTTCAGCCAGGTCACGATCTCGCGGTCCGTGAGTTCAAGCCCCGCGTCAGGCTCTGGGCTGATGGCTCAGAGCGTGGAGCCTGTTTCCGATTCTGTGTCTCCCTCTCTCTCTGCCCCTCCCCCGTTCATGCTCTGTCTCTCTCTGTCCCAAAAATAAATAAACGTTGAAAAATAAAAATAAAAAAAAAATGCTGCAGTCATGCTATGAATGTGTTCTATCATGCTTAGAGACCTAAAAACTGTTTTAACAGACCCTCACCTAAGCAAACTCATTGAATTTATACCAGAATGTCCGTTTACTTGCTTACAGTTTGGGATATACTTTTGTGGTGACTGTGAATATTCATGCTATCTCTCCACATGTTCTATCTATCTTCTGCTGAAGAAAAATGTGCTTTCCTAATGAACTGAAAAGTTTCTGTCCCTCAGGCAAAGTTGTGTATTTCCCTGACTATTTCCGCATCGATAGAGTTCTGTCTCCCTGTACCGAACTCACCTTACTGCTCCTCGGTCCCGGATTCTTGGTTTAAATACCTAGTGTTTGTTTCACTCACCTTATATCTGCATCTTAGAAATGTGGTATATACATTATAGTCCAAGCTAAGAGAATTAGGGAAATTTTTAATTCCCCTTTTCCTCAGGTACACAGCTCAGAGTCCCCATCCAGCAGACTAATGTCTCTCTTCCCAAGCACACTACTCTGATGCATTTCTCTATTCCTCCCTCCCCTTCCTCTTCTTTATTATCTGTAGCTCCTTTTACCTGCAGTCAGCTTTGGACATGCGTGCCTGCATTGACATGCAGAGTAGTGGAGAGAGACAGTAGGGTGTACTGTTTGAGAACACATACTCTGGAATCAGACTTCCTGGGTTTCGATCCTGCCTCTTACACTCCCCGCTGTGTGTTTTCTAACCTCTGTCTCTCGATTTCCTTAACCATAAAATGCTAATAGTATGTACTTTACAAGGCAGTTGTGAGAATTCAGTGAGACAGTATCTGGAAAGTAGTTAGAGCCTGGCAGGAAATGTTAGCCATCATCTTCATTACTGACTTTTGGGAAATACTTTTTCCCTTTACCTTCCCACTTTACTGTCTGCCTGTGAATCATTAAAAGTTTTTGTTTGTTTGTTTTATTTAAATTGTGTGACAAGTAGTAAAGGATGGATCCCCTTGGCGGGCTACTGGTAGAAAGGTTTTAAAGCAATTGTGCCCTATGGTTTTATCTCACAGACTTACTTACTCCCTGATGGCTTGACTCTTTTAGAATGCTAACTTTCAACCTGTAAGACATCTTCCCTTTATTTTTTCTTATTTTAGAGACAGAGACAGAGTGTGTGCACATGTGTGCAAGCAGGGTAGGAGCAGAGGGAGAGAGAATCCCAAGCAGGCTCCGTGCTGTCAGTGCGGAGCCTGACGTGAGGCTCGATCTCATGACTGTGAGATCCTGATCTGAGCTGAAATCAAGTGTTGGACGCTTAACTGACCAAGCCACCCAGGCGCCCCAGAAGTCTTCCCTTTTTGTGCATACTTCTTTTCCTTCTGTGAGCTTTAGATAGAAAACCTAGCATTTAGGCTTTTTACCATGGGCTTTTTTTTTTAATACATGGAAATTCATTTCAAAATTCCTATTTTAGTAATACACCATTTCTTTTGTACTTGGCTCTTTTTCAGACAGATATTCTACTGGATCATAAAAGTCAAATTCAGAGGATTTGTATTTGCAATACATACCACCCCCATCCTGTCAGTTGCCAGCTGTGTGGATGTAGATTTGGTGGCCGGACAAGGAGAGAGGAAAACGTTTTCTAGGACTTTTTCTTGCCTGAAGTGTACCGTTATGTGCATTCTAGCATAGTGGTTCTTAAGTCTCATTTTCATCAGAATACTTCAGGGAGCTTTTAAAAACTCCCAAGTGCCAGGGCACCACCTCACAGACTCAACTAAAGTTGGCGTGGCGTCCAAGCACAGGCTTTGACGTATGTTTTAAGTCCCCGGTTGTTGCCAATGTGCAGCAGGTGTTGAGCACAACTAGAGTTTAGCCCAGTTGAATTTTACTCTTACCCTTTCGGGCTGATCCTAAAAAAATTAGTTAGGCAGTCTTTCCTCATTTTTTTTTTAAAGTTTATTTACTTATTTTGAGAGAGAGAGAAAGAGAGGGAGGGGCAGAGGGAGAGAGAATCCCAAGCAGGCTCCATGCTGTCAGCGCAGAGCCCAACACAGGGCTCGATCCCACGAGCTGTGAGATCACGACCTGAGTCGAAATCAAGAGTCAGATGCTTAACCGACTGAGCCACCCTGGCGCCCCCTCATTTTTTTTTAAAGGTACCGATGAGATGAGAAAGTTAATAATTTAGACTTATCCACTTGGGGGCCTGGAAGGATATTAGAAAACATCTAATTGAACCCCCTGTTTTTTATACATGTGAGGAAACCAAGACCCAGAGAAGATAGATCCAAAACTATTACTTATGACTCAGGTCACAGTTTCTTTACGTTGTTTTATTTGTTACCTATTCCCCAGATTTTTCTTTTTCTTTTCTTTTTTCTTTTTCTTTTTCTTAAATTTTTCTTTTTCTTTTTCCTTTGGAGGATGTGCTGGCCCCACACATTCTTTCTTTGCCCGGCAAGATGTGCAGCCACTGCTTATTTATGCTTTTTAAATGCAACTGAATGCTGAGGCAGCCTCTAGAACTGCTCTTCTGTTGAGTGCAGTTTTCTCCCTGTTTTCCTCACATATTAATCATATTATTCTCATCTAGAACTGGTGGTTTTAGGGGTGCGTAGGTGGCTCAGTCCGTTAAGCGGCCAACTTGGCTCAGGTCATGATCTTGGGGTTCACGAGTTCGAGCCCCGTGTCGGGCTCTGTGCTGACAGCTCAGAGCCTGGAGCCTGCTTTGGATTCTGTGTCTCCCTCTCTCTCTGCCCCTCCTCCACTCACAGTATCTCTCTCTCTCTCTGTCTCAAAAAAAATAAACATCAAAAAAACTGGTGGTTTTAGCTTCTAGATAAGAACTATCTAATAGAATTGTCTGTGGTGTTGTGAATGTTTTCTGTTTGGGCTGTGCACTGGTTGGTAGCCACCAGTGACATGTGGCTATTGAGCACTTACAATGTGGCTAGTGAAACGTAGAAACTGAATTAAAAATATTTTTGTGGTAAAAGGTATTAACATAAAATTTGCCATTTTACCTTTTTCTTATTGTGGTAAAAAAACGCATAACATAAAATTTACCATCTTAACCATTTTTAAATACACAATCCACTGGCACTAACTATACTTACAAAGTTGTGCAGCCATCACCACTATCTTATTTCCAAAACATCTTCATCACCCCAACGGAAACTGTACCCGTTGAACAATAACCCCCATTCTTCCTTCCCACAGCCTCTGGTTTCCTCTCTTCAACTTCCTCAATTGGCTTATTCTAGATATTTCATATAAGTGGAATCACACAATATTTGTTCTTTTTCTTGATTATTTCCCTTAGCCATAATGTTTTCAAGGTTCATCTGTGTTGCAGCATGTTACCAGGACTCCGTTCCGTTTTATGTGTATTCCCCTGTATGTGTATGCACTCATCTTTTCGTTGACACTTGGGTTATTTCCACCTCTGGCAATTGTGAATAGTGCTGCAATGAACATTGGCATATAGCTCTCTGTTTGAGGCCCTGCTTTCAGTTCTTTTGGGTATATATATCTAGGAGTGGAATTGTTGGGTCCTGTGGTAATTCTACGTTTACTTTTTTGACGAGCTATCAAACTGTTTTCCACAGCAGCTGTACCATTTTACATGCCCACCAATGATGTAGGAGCATTTCTCCGTGTCTTCACCGACACTTATTCTTTTCTTCTTTTTTAAAAAAAAAAATTTTTTTTTTAATGTTTTTATTTATTTTTGAGACAGGGAGAGACAGAGCATGAGCAGGGGAGGGGCAGAGAGAGAGGGAGACACAGAATCGGAAGCAGGCTCCAAGCTCTGAGCTGTCAGCACAGAGCCCGACGCGGGGCCCGAACTCACGGACTGTGAGATCATGACCTGAGCTGAAGACGGACGCTTAACCGACTGAGCCACCCAGGCACCCTCTTCTTTTTTTTTAAATT